AGGCTCGCATCACGCGTGTTTTAGGCGCGAAACCAGCTGCGGCTTCCAGGACCAAAATCGAAACGAGCCGCGAGCACACCATGCTTGAGGTCAAAGATCGGCTAGCCTCCGAACTAGTACAGCTGTACTGGCCGGGGGTGGATGTACTTGTGGATGTTCAGGACAGGGCTCCGACCGGCCAAGTCTAGCGATGTGTGCGCCCCCTGGGGGGCCACTGGCTAGAGAGATAGAGAGTTTTTTGTATCTCCCTAGGTAGTGGCTCGCTGGTGGTTTGCTTGTTCTCAAACGTACGTGGCATGGCACAGAACATACTCATGCTCCCCCTGAGGGCCCCTCCGGAGTTCCCCGTTTGATGTTAGGCCAGGGTGCCCGCTTCAACTTGCGACCCATGGTCTTGTGCCAGTATGCTAGGCCCCATTCGCGCTCCCCCCCCCTACTAACAGCACGAAGGAAGATCATGGCCTAGCCCCTATAGGGACATATTGTACAATAACACGACCCCTTCTTCCGCCCTTGCCGGCATCTTGATATTAACTTCTGCTCGAACACGGCCCCTTGCGGACTCATGATCAAAATTGGTTGATTACGGCAGATACGTTCGGAAACATCGCCCATACGGAGCGGAGTCAAATAGCAGGAAAGACATCACATCGCAGTCTCCGGATAAACAACATGAGTCTTTCCCTCTGGCACCACATTAGGGCGCCGAGCTCTAATTTTTCCCTTTCCGCCCTGATCTTCCTGCCGGGTACTATTTTTTTCCTTTCTTTCCTTTCTTCCCACCTTTGCCTTTCTTACTTTTCTTGTTGATCATCTGCCGGATGAACGCACGGAGCTGCTTGCCTCGTACCTTGCGAGGGCGCGTATGATAGTACACCAAAGCATGTCACGCAGGATGCATCACTATCTTTTGTATGGATGTCGATGAGTTGTGGAGGAACTTATCAGCAAGAAACACGCGCTTACGAAAGGTTGCAAGTATCGCAACTTCCCTGCTTTGACGTTTCTGATTTGCATCTATCTTCGCAAAGTATTCCTCCAGTTCGCGAAGCCGCTCCTTCTCTTCCGCCATTTTCAGTTTTATTTCCTCCGTCTGGCGTTGCATCTCGGCCATGTTGGTATCGTATTGTGACACCTAAAGTACATCGAATTCATAAAATTGGATCTGCCCAGATGTCAATCAGATCTATACTACCTGCGTAGCAAGGTCGGCTTCGATCCTTTCTTTCTTTTTTCGAAGTGCAGCCTGGAAGAGCATGCGTCACCGCAATAACACAAGGTACCCTAAAATTAAGACTCCATGCTTGTAGATACTTCCGTGTCCCGGTTGATTTGACTTTGGCTTTCGATGGTTGATTCCAAGCCACTTATTTTTTCCATGAGCTGATGTGATGCCAATTTGTGCTCTTCTTCTGATCTGCGCGACTTGCTCAGTTTGATGCTAAAAAAAAAACGCACTTTGTAATCTGATCTTCCATTTGTATCCGAACCAAGTCCATCTTAGACTGATTGGTCTGAGTTATATCATGGAGCTCAGCACGAAGCTTGGTCAATGTCTGATCTTGCACCGAGACCTCCCTCTCACGCTCAGTTCTTTGAGTTTCGAGGGTCTCCTGAAGAGCCTACAGAAGGCACCTGCCGAGCACAGGGGCTAATATTAAATCACACCGATGCCTCTTCCGCCGCATTTCGTTCCTTTTCTGTCAACTCATGTCTGAAAAAACACAATACTTTCATGCGTGAGACACGACGTGACACTGCATCATACAGCATGTGTTTGTTTGCGGTCTCTTCTTCAACCTAAACACCGTTGATTGTTGGGCATCGGTGCTTCATAATACGCCGAGCAAAAATGACAGTGGTCGACAGTCGCCGGAAGATCACGGCCGTCAGATCGGACAAGTACCTACACATGTTTCATTGGAA